ACTTCACGCCCGGGCAGCCACGCCGTGCTGGGCTGTGCCATCACCTGGACTTCAGCCTCATCGCCCCGTGCCCCCCTTCGGCTGGAGCAGGTCCGGGGGGCACGGGGGCAATGGGGAGTTGGGCAGGGGCAAGTTGGGGTCCCAGGGTTTGGGGCCTAATGGCAGTTGAGGATCTCAAGGGGTTTTGGGGTCCCAGGAGTTTGGGAGTCCCAAGGATTTGGGGCTCTAATGGCAGTGGGGATCTCAAGGAGGTTTGGGGGTCCCAGGGGGTTGGGGTCCCAGAAGGAGTTGAGGGTCTCAGGGGTTTGGGGGTCTGATAGGAGTTGGGGATCTCTAGGGGAGTTGGGGTCCCAGGGGAGTTGGGGGTCTCAGGGGGAGTTGGGGGTCTCAGGGGATTGACGGTCCCAAGGATTTGGGGCTCTAATGGCAGCTGGGGTCTCAAGGGCATCTGGGGTCCCAGGGGAGTTGGGGTCTCAGGGGATTGGGGGTCCCAGGGGAGTTGGAAGTCCCTGGGGTTTGGGTCTCAAAGCCCCAAGGACTTGGGACTCTAATGGCAGTTGGGGACCTCAAGGGAGTTTTGGGGTCCCTGGGTTTGGGGGTCCCAGGGGAGTTGGGGGTCTCAAGGGGGTTTGGGATTCCAGTGGGAGATGGGGATCTTAAGGGTGTTTGGGGTCCTCGGGGTTTGGGGGTCCCAGGGGGAGTTGGAAGTCCCAGGGGGTTTGGGGCTCTAATGGCAGTTGGGGACCTCAAGGGAGTTTTGGGGTCTCCAGGGTTTGGGGTCCCAGGGGGAGTTGGGTGTCTCATGGGGTTTGGGGTTCCCAGGGGAGTTGGGGGTCTCAAGGGAGTTTGGGATTCCAATGGGAGCTGGGGATCTTAAGGGGTTTGGGATCTCAGGGGTTTGGGGTCCCAGGGGGAGTTGGAAGTCCCAGGGGTTTTGGGGCTCTAATGGCAGTTGGGGACCTCAAGGAGTTTTGGGGTCTCCAGGGTTTGGGGTCCCAGGGGAGTTGGGTGTCTCAAGGGGGTTTGGGGTTCCCAGGGGAGTTGGGGGTCTCAAGGGGGTTTGGGATTCCAATGGGAGCTGGGGATCTTAAGGGGTTTGGGGTCCCTGGGGTTTGGGGGTCCCAGGAGAGTTGGGGTCCCAAGGACTTGGGGCTCTAATGGCAGTTGGTGACCTCAAGGGAGTTTTGGGGTCCCCGGGGTTTGGGGGTCCCAGTGGGAGTTGGGGGTCTCAGGGGGGTTTGGGATTCCAATGGGAGTTGGGGATCTTAAGGGGGTTTGGGGGTCCCAGTGGGAGTTGGGGGTCTCAAGAGGGTTTGGGGGTCACAGGGGGTTGAGGGCCATGGGTGGTTGGAGGTCCCCAGGCCATCCCAGCCCTCCGTGTTCCTCCCAAGGTACATCCCTGAGTGGTTGGACTGGGGGTCCTGGGGGATGTGGGTGGATTTGGCGGTCCCGGGGGCAGTTTGGGGGTCCCGGGGGCAGTTCGGGGGTCCCAGGGGCAGTTCGGGGGTCCCGGGGCCATCCCAGCCCCTCCTTTTGGCCCCCCCAGGTACATCCCCGAGGGGCTGCAGTGCTCGTGCGGCCCGGACTTGGGGTCCCAGGGGATGTCAGGGGATTTGGGGGTCCAGGGGGTAGTTCGGGGTCCTGGGGCAGTTCGGGGCTCCCAGGCCATCCCATCCCTCCGTGTCTCCCCTCCCAGGTACATCCCCGAGGGTCTGCAGTGCTCGTGCAGCCCGGACTGGGGTCCCTGGGGATGTGGGGGGTTGGGGGTCCTGGGGCAGTCCGGGGTCCCGAGGCAGTCTGGGGTCCTGGGCAATCCCATCCCTCCTGTGTCCCCCCAGGTACATCCCCGAGGGGCTGCAGTGCTCGTGTGGCCCGGACTGGGGGTCTCAGGGAGTGTTGGGAGTTTGGGGGTCCCAGGGGCAGTTTAGGGGTCCCGAGGGCAGTTCGGGGTCCCGAGGCCACCCCAGCCCTCCTTTGGCCCCCCAGGTGCATCCCCGAGGGCTGCAGTGCTCGTGCAGCCCTGACTGGGAATCCCTGGGGATGTGGGGGTTTGGGGTCCTGGGGGCAGTTCGGGGGTCCCGAGGCCATCCCAGCCCCTCCTTTTGTCCCCCCCCCAGGTGCATCCCCGAGGGGCTGCAGTGCTCGTGCGGCCCGGACTGGTACACGACCAACAACAAGTGGAACAACGAGTCCTACGTGCTCTTCCTCTTCTGCTTCTGCTTCGGCTTCCCCCTGGCCATCATCATCCTCAGCTACGGGCGGCTGCTGCTCACCCTGCGCGCGGTCAGCGGCCTGGGGTCCTGGGGTCCTGGGGCTCAGGGGTCCTGGAGCATTGGGGGTTTCGGGAACGAGGGGTTGATGGTCGTCATCATCCTCAGCTACGGGCGGCTGCTGCTCATCCTGTGCCTGGGGAGGGGCTCGGGAGTCTCGGGTGTCCCGGAGGCTCTGGGGAGGGTCCCAGGGGACTTGGGGGCGCAGGGGGCACAGACTGTTGGTCGTCATCATCCTCAGCTACGGGCGGCTGCTGCTCATCCTGTGCATGGGGAGGGGGCTTGGGAGGTCCCGGGGGCTCGGGAGAGTTCCGGGGTCTTTGAGGGCTCAGAGGGCACGGGAGGAGCTCTGAGGGGTTCAGGGTGGTACAGCTTTATGGGAGGGCACAGCTTTAATGGGGGCACCCAGTTTATTGGGGGGCACAGAGGGGGCACGGGGACCATGTGGGTGGGTGGGGGTCCTTGGGGACCCCACGGCAGGGGTGAAGGCTCTGCTCGGGGTGAGGCCTCAGCAGTTCAGCCCCACAATTGTGGCCCCCCATAACTGACCCCCTCACTTCTGACCCCCATAGCTGATCCCCTAATTGACCTCCCCAAGTGACCCCAATAACCGACCCCCATTTCTGATCCCCCCAAATCTGACCCCCATCTCTGACCCCTCATCTCTGACTCCCCATCTCTGACTCCCATGTCTGACCTCCATATCTGACCCCCACAATCTGACCCCCATTTCTGATCCCCTTGTCCCCAGGTGGCCAAGCAGCAGGAGCAGTGACTGACCCCCAAATCTGACCCCCAATGTCCCCTGTCCCTCCAGGTGGCCAAGCAGCAGGAGCAGTGACTGACCCCCAAATCTGACCCCCAATATCTGTCCCCCCAGGTGACCAAGCAGCAGGAGCAGTGACTGACCCCCCAAATCTGACCCCCCAAATCTGTCCCCCCAGGTGGCCAAGCAGCAGGAGCAGTGACTGACCCCCATCTCTGATCCCCAAATCTGACCCCCATCTCTGACCCCCCAAATCTGACCCCCAAATCTGTCCCCCCAGGTGGCCAAGCAGCAGGAGCAGTGACTGACCCCCAAATCTGACCCCCCAATGTCCCCTGTGTCCCCCCAGGTGGCCAAGCAGCAGGAGCAGTGACTGACCCCCAAATCTGTCCCCCCAAATCTGTCCCCCCAGGTGGCCAAGCAGCAGGAGCAGTGACTGACCCCATTTCTGACCCCCAAATCTGTCCCCCAGGTGGCCAAGCAGCAGGAGCAGTGACTGACCCCAAATCTGACTCCCCAAATCTGTCCCCTGTGTCCCCAGGTGGCCAAGCAGCAGGAGCAGTGACTGACCCCCATCTCTGACCCCCAAATCTGTCCCCCCAGGTGGCCAAGCAGCAGGAGCAGTGACTGACCCCCAAATCTGACTCCCCAATCTGTCCCCTGTGTCCCCCAGGTGGCCAAGCAGCAGGAGCAGTGACTGACCCCATTTCTGACCCCCAAATCTGTCCCCCCAGGTGGCCAAGCAGCAGGAGCAGTGACTGACTCCCCAAATCTGACTCCCCAAAGCTGTCCCCTGTCCCCCAGGTGGCCAAGCAGCAGGAGCAGTGACTGACCCCCAAATCTGACTCCCCAAATCTGTCCCCCAGGTGGCCAAGCAGCAGGAGCAGTGACTGACCCCCATCTCTGACCCTCCAATGTCCCCTCCTGTCCCCCAGGTGGCCAAGCAGCAGGAGCAGTGACTGACCCCAACTCTGACTCCCCAATGTCCCTGTCCCCCCAGGTGGCCAAGCAGCAGGAGCAGTGACTGACCCCCCAAATCACTGCAGGAGCAGTGACTGACCCCCCCAATGTCCCCTCCTGTCCCCCCCCAGGTGGCCAAGCAGCAGGAGCAGTGACTGACCCCCATTTCTGACCCCCCAAATCTGTCCCCCCAGGTGGCCAAGCAGCAGGAGCAGTGACTGACCCCCCAAATCTGACCCCCCCAAATCACTGCAGGATCAGTGACTGACCCCCAAATCTGTCCCCCCCCAGGTGGCCAAGCAGCAGGAGCAGTGACTGACCCCCATCTCTGACCCCCCCAATCTGTCCCCCCAGGTGGCCAAGCAGCAGGAGCAGTGACTGACCCCATCATCCTGACCCCCCAATCTGTCCCCCCAGGTGGCCAAGCAGCAGGAGCAGTGACTGACCCCCATCTCTGACCCCCCAATCTGTCCCCCAGGTGGCCAAGCAGCAGGAGCAGTGACTGACCCCCCAAATCACTGCAGGATCAGTGACTGACCCCCCCAAATCTGTCCCCCCAGGTGGCCAAGCAGCAGGAGCAGTGACTGACCCCCCAAATCTGTCCCCCCAGGTGGCCAAGCAGCAGGAGCAGTGACTGACCCCCAAATCTGACCCCCCAATGTCCCCTGTGTCCCCCCAGGTGGCCAAGCAGCAGGAGCAGTGACTGACCCCCAAATCTGTCCCCCAGGTGGCCAAGCAGCAGGAGCAGTGACTGACCCCCAAATCTGACCCCCCAATGTCCCCTGTGCCCCCCCAGGTGGCCAAGCAGCAGGAGCAGTCGGCCACGACGCAGAAGGCGGAGCGGGAGGTCACCAAGATGGTGGTGGTGATGGTGCTGGGCTTCCTGGTGTGCTGGGCGCCCTACACGGCCTTCTCGCTGTGGGTCGTGACCCACCGCGGCCACCACTTCGAGGTGGGCTTGGCCTCCATCCCCTCCGTCTTCTCCAAGTCCTCCACCGTCTACAACCCCGTCATCTACGTCCTCATGAACAAGCAGGTGGCGGGGCGAGGGGGGAAATGGGGGTTATGGGGGATGTGGGGGTCATGGGAGCCTTGGGGGATGTGGGGGCTGTGGGGGTCATGGGGGTCATGGGGGTTAGGGAGGTCATGGGGGTTGTGGGGTCATGGGGGACTTGAGGGGTTATGGGAGTCATGGGGGCTGTGGGGTCATGGGGACTTGGGGGTTATGGGAGTCATGGGGGCTGTGGAGGTCATGGGGACTTGGGGGTTATGGGAGTCATGGGGATGTGGGGTCATGGGGCATGTGGGGATCATGGGGGTGTCATGGAGTGTTGGGGGTCATGGGGTCATGGGGCCTTGGGGGCTGTGGAGGGTAATGGGGGCTGTGGGGGTCATGGGGGCTGTGGAGGGCAATGGGGGCGTGGGGTCATGGGGGTCATGGGGCTGTGGGGTCATGGGGGCCTTGGGGGCTGTGGGGTCATGGGGGGACTTGGGGGTTATGGGAGTCCTGGGGTCCTGGGGGTCATGGGGTCATGGGGATGTAGAGGGTAATGGGAGGCTGTGGGGTCATGGGGGCTGTGGAGGGTAATGGGGGCTGTGGGGTCATGGGGGTAATGGGGACGTGGGGGTAATGGGGGTCATGGAGGGTCTTAGGGCCAGGGGGTCAGGGAGTCATGGGGGGTAATGGGGTCATGGAGGGCTGTGGGGGTAATGGGGGCTGTGTGGGGTCATGGGGGCCATGGGGGCTGTGGGTGGTCATGGGGGGTCAGGGAGGGTTGGGGGCCAGGGGAGTCATGGGGGCCATGGGGGACGTAGAGGGTAATGGGGGCTGTGGGGTCATGGCGGGTCATGGGGGCTGTGGGGGCTGTGGGGTCATGGCGGGTCATGGGGGTCATGAGGGTCATTGGGGGTAATGGGGACGTGGGGGTAATGGGGGCCATGGGGGGCTGTGGGGGTCATGGAGGTCATTGGGGCTATGGGGGCTGTGGGGGTCATGGGGGTCATGGGGATGTGGGGGTCATGGAGGGCCATGAGGGGTCGTGGGAGGCTGTAGGGGCCATGGGGGTCATGGGGGCCTTGGGGGATGTGGGGTCATGGAGGGTCATGAGGTCATGGGGCGTCAGGGTGGGTCATGGGGGTCATGGGGGTCATGGAGGGTTTATGGGGGCCTTGGGGGACCAGGAGGGTCATGGGGGCTGTGGGGGTCTTGGGGGTTGGGAGGGGCCAAGGGGTCATGGGGGCCACGGAGGGTCAGGGGGCCTTGGGGGACCAGGAGGGATCATGGGGGATGTGGGGTCATGGGGGTCAGGGGGCCTTAGGGGACCAGGAGGGATCATGGGGGCCGTGAGGGGTCATGGGGGTTGGGGGCCAGGGGGTCATGGGGGTCATGAGGAATCATGGGGGCCATGTGGGTCATGAGGGTCATGGAGGGTCACTGGGGCTGTAGGAGGTCATGGGGGAGCCATGGAAGGTCATGGGGGTCATGGAAGGTCATGGGGACCATGGGGGTCATGGGGGTCATGGGGACCATGGGGGCCATGGGGGCTGTGGGGGGTCATGGGGGCTTTGGGGGCACAGTGTGGGGTTGGGGGCGATGGGGAGGATGAGGGGGGACAATGTGGGGAGGGGGCAATGGGGGGTGACAGGGGGTGGGGAGCAATGGGAACTGGGGGTGCCAGGGGTGTTGGGGGCACTGCGAGGCACTGGGGAGTTACTGGGAGGCACTGGGGGCCACTGGGGGTTACTGGGAGGCATTGGGGGGCACTGGGGAGTAGAGGTCAGAGGGGCCTGGGGACACCTCAGGGACACCCAGTAACACCCCAGTAACCCCCACGAACAGCTCAGTAAGCCCCAGTAAGATCCCAGTGACACCCAGTAACCCCCAGTAATCCCCAGTAACAGCCCAGTAACCCCCAGTAATCCCCAGTAACCCCCAGTTAACCCTCAGTGACCCCCAGTGATATCTGGTAACACCCACTAACACCCCCCCTGGTAGCTCCCAGTGCCCCCCAGTGACCTCCCAGTGACTCTGGGTCTGGGGGTCCCATTCTGGTTCTGGGGGTCCTGCTGTGGGTCTCGGGTCCTGCTGTGGGTCTGGGGTGTCACTCTGGGTCTGGGGGTCTCTCTGTGGGTCTGGGGGTGTCACTCTGTGTCCAGGGGTCCTGCTGTGGGTCTGGGGGTGTCACTCTGTGGGTCTGGGGGTGTCACTCTGGGTCTGGGGGTCCTGCTGTGGGTCTGGGAGAGTCACTCTGGGTCTGGGGGTCTCTCTGTGGGTCTGGGGGTGTCACTCTGGGTTAGGGGGTCCTGCTGTGGGTCTGGGGGTGTCACTGTGGGTCTGGGGGTCTCTCTGTGGGTCTGGGGGTCTCTCTGTGGGTCTGGGGGTGTCACTCTGGGTCTAGGGGGTCCTGCTGTGGGTCTGGGGTGTCACTGTGGGTCTGGGGGTCTCTCTGTGGGTCTGGGGTGTCACTCTGGGTTAGGGGGTCCTGCTGTGGGTCTGGGGGTGTCACTCTGGGTCCGGGGTTCCTGTTGTGGGTCTGGGGGTCTCTCTGTGGGTCAGGGGGTCCTGCTGTGGGTCTGGGGGAGTCACTCTGGGTCTGGGGGTGTCACTCTGGGTCTGGGGGAGTCACTCTGGGTCTGGGGGAGTCACTCTGGGTCTGGGGGTGTCGCTTTGTGTCCAGGGGTCCCGCTGTGGGTCCGGGGGTCCTGCTGTGGGTCTGGGGGTGTCACTCTGGGTCAGGGGGTCCCGCTGTGGGTCTGTGGGTGTCACTCTGGGTCTGGGGGTGTCACTCTGGGTCTGGGGGTCTCTCTGTGGGTGTCACTCTGGGTCTGGGGGTGTCACTCTGGGTCTGGGGATGTCACTCTGGGTCAGGGGGTCCCGCTGTGGGTCTGTGGGTGTCACTCTGGGTCTGGGGTGTCACTCTGGGTCTGGGGGTCTCTGTGGGTGTCACTCTGGGTCAGGGGGTGTCACTCTGGGTCTGGGGGTCTCTCTGTGGGTCTGGGGATGTCGATCTGGGTCTGGGGGTCCCACTCTGGTTCCGGGGGTCATTCCGTGGGTCCGGGGGTTCTGCTGTGGATCAGGGGGTCCCACTGTTGTTCCAGGGGTCCCGCTGTGGGTCTGGGGGTGTCACTCTGGGTCTGGGGGTGTCACTGTGGATCAGGAGGTCCCGCTGTTGTTCCGGGGGTCCCGCTGTGGGTCTGGGGGTGTCACTCTGGGTCTGGGGGTGTCACTGTGGATCAGGGGGTCCCGCCGTTGTTCTGGGGGTCCCGCCGTGGGTCCGGGGGTCCCTCCGTGGGTCCGGGGGTCCTGCTCTGGTTCCGGGGTCCTGCCGTGGGTCCGGGGGTCCCGCCGTGGGTCCGGGGGTCCCTGTGGGTCGCGGCTGACCCCCTCCTGCCCCCCAGTTCCGCTCGTGCATGCTCAAGCTCGTGTTCTGCGGCCGGAGCCCCTTCGGGGACGACGACGACGTGTCGGGCTCGTCCCAGGCCACGCAGGTGTCCTCCGTGTCCTCCAGCCAGGTGGCACCTGCCTAGGCCCCGCCCCACGGGAGCCCCTGCCCCACGGGAGCCCCTGCCCCACGGGAGCCCCGCCCCACGAGAGCCCCACCCCACGGGGGGCTTGGTCTCACTGTGGGCTCCGCCCCACATCGGGCTCGATCCCACGGGGGTCTCTGCCCCACGGGGGGCTTGGTCTCACTGTGGGCTCTGCCCCACGAGGGGCTCTGGTCTCATGGTGGGCTCTGCTGCACGGGGCTCTGCCCCACACGGGCCCAATCCCACGGGGGTCTCTGCCCCACGGGGGGCTTGGTCTCACTGTGGGCTCTGCCCCACACCGGGCCCGGTCCCACGGGGGTCTCTGCCCCACGGGGGGCTTGGTCTCACTGTGGGTTCTGCCCCACGGGGGGCTTCGCCCCACATCGGGCCCGGTCCCACGGGGGGCTCTGCCCCTGGTGGTGCTGCCCCACATCAGGCTCTGCCCCACAGTGGATCAGCCCCCACATCGGGCTCCATCCCACGGGGGGCCCTGCCCCACATCAGGCTCTGCCCCACAGTGGATCAGCCCCCACATCGGGCTCCATCCCACGGGGGGCTCTGCCCCACATCGGGCTCTGCCCCACGGGGGGCTCTGCCCCACGTCGGGCTCTGCCCCGCAGTGGATCAGCCCCACATCAGACTCAGCCCCACATTGTGCTCTGCCCCACGGGAGGCTCTGCCCCACGGGAGGCTCTGCCCCCCATCGAGCTCAGCCCCACGGCTCTGCCCCACGGGAGGCTCTGCCCCCCCCTCATCGAGCTCAGCCCCACGGTTCAGCCCCACGGCAGCTCAGCCCCCCACGGCCGCTCATTTACCGCCCCCTGCTGTGGGGCAGCCCCACGGCCGCTCATTTACCCCCGTCCCCCACCGTGGGAGCCCCACGGCCGCTCATTTACCACCCCCGCTGTGGGGCAGCCCCACGGCAGCTCATTTACCACTCCTCCACCGTGGGGCAGCCCCACGACCGCTCATTTACCAACCTCACCCCCGTGGGGCAGCCCCACGGCCACTCCTCCCACCCCCGCGTGGGGCAGCCCCACAGGTCCGTTGTACAGACCCCCTCCCTCCCCCGGCATTAAACTCTGGAGACGCAACCCCCGCCTCTGATTTTTGGGGGTCCCGGGAGCCCCCCAAAATGCCCCCCTCTTCGGCCCCCGAGTGCCCCCCGAGCGCCCCACGCGTGCCCCCGAGTGGGGCGCGCGGCCGAGTTCTGCCAGTAGTGAGCTTTTTTTGGGAGGAAAAAGTTCAGAACTAGCGGAATTCCGGCCGCACGGCCTGGGGCCTGCGGACCCACGGGGGACACGCGGGGGGACCCACAGGGGACACGCGGGAAGGGGCAGGCGGGGGGTGCAGGCGGGAGACACCCGGGGACACGCGGGAACAGGTGGGGGACACGCGGGGGGACAAAAGGGGGGACACACAGTGGGACACGCGGGGGACACACGGGGGGACACGCAGGGAACACAGGGGACAGGTGGGAGGGACCCGCGGCAGCCCCACGCAATGTCAGGGGCTGCCCCACAGCACCCAGGGCAGCCCCACGGCACCCACAGTGACCCCACGGCGGCCCCACGGCACCCACTGGTGCCCCCCGACAGCCCCACAGTGACCCACGGCTGCCCCACACAAGGTCAGGGGGGTGTCCCACAGCACCCACGGTGACCCACGGCAGCCCCACGGCACCCACAGCAACTCCCGGTAGCCCCACGGCAGCTCGTGGTGGCCCCACAGCAGCCCAGTTGTCACCCACGGTGCCCCACGGCAGCCCCACAGTGACGCACGGCTGCCCCACGGCACCCACTGGTGGCCCCCGACAGCCCCACAATGACCCACGGCAGCCCCACAGTGACCCACGGCTGCCCCACGGCACCCACTGGTGGCCCCCGACAGCCCCACAACGACCCACGGCAGCCCCACGACAGCTCACGGTGACCCCGCAGCAGCCCCACTCCAACGCGTCGGGGCTGCCCCACGGCCCCCACAGTGGCCCCACGGTGATCCACGGCGCCCCACGGCAGC